TTTTTTTTTTTTTTTTTTAAGAATCTCCTTTGTTTTCCTACAAATAACCCCTGACGTTTGCCTTCTGTGTGCCACTAATCTTTGAGTTTGTAACGTTTCTGGTTTCCTGATCTCTCTCCTCTTCAAATAAATGCAAGAAGTCCATGGGAAAGAAAAAAAAAAGGAACAACGATGTGTTAGGTACCAACTCCACACAAGGAAAGTCAACTTCGCGTACTACACAATGAACTAATAAACTAAAATAATAAAAACCAAAGACTATTTAAAATGCCAGACAGTGGCATATTGAGAAGAGGTGATCAGGATCAAGGCACGCTAAGGTCCTCATACTGTTTGGAAATAAACACAGCTTTACACATTACATTACATATGCAAGTGAAAAAGTGTAGGAAGACCTCTAAAAGAGATTTGTTTTTGTATGTAATTAACTGAAGATTTGCCTAAGCACACAGGAGAAAAATGAAGTGTGACATAAGGGAAACTACATAACCCTGAAAGAATACAAAAGAAAACAGATGTGGCAAAGAAACAAAAATAATGAAAGCACAAAATAAAATGATAGAAAACTATTGGTAACAGAGTTTATGTAAATAATATCTCCAGTTAAAAGACAAGTATTTTATAAAATTAAAAATCCAGTATATTATAGTCACAAGAGCCAACATAAGGACAAAAGCAAATGCTCTATCAGGTCAATGATCACCAAGAAAAAGTGTTAATATTGCTGTATTAATACAAAAAATACTTTTGAGATGAGAAATTATCTTTCCCAAGGTTATTCAGAAATACCCTGGCTCACAAAAGCTGATAACCTAAATACTTGGTATTATCAACAATGAAAGATGTCATCTAGAAGAATGTTGGGAAATTTTTTAAAGTACTGTAATGGACACTGGATGCTTTTCCTTAAAATCAAGAATCAGGAAAGAATGCCCAAGTTATCCTGCTGTGCACTATAGCATCAGACGACCTAAACAACACAATAAAACAAGGCACCTAACTGGAAAGGAAGTGAAAGCGTGTTTATTAGCTGATGTTGTGATTGTGTGTACACCCACAAAAATCCCAAATACTTAAGAAAGTTACTTTAAAAAACTGTACAAGTTAAAAGTGCAAAACTCCATTGTGTTTTAGTACAGCATCAATGAATAACCAAAAAAAGAAATTAGCAACTTAACTTTACAGTGGCATTCACAAGAAAAACATATGCAGAAGTAAACTTAATTAAGGTGGTGACAGAGTTGTGCCCTGTACACTATAGGACATTGCTAAAAGAAATCAAAGTGGATTTAAATAAATAGAAAAATAATTAGTTAAGATGTGAAAATACCCCATTTTACCTATAAATTCCACAGAGTCTCTATGAAAAGCCTAACAGCCTCTTTTTGTAGAAATTAAAAAATCCTAAAATTAAATGGAATAACAGTGGGACTGGAATAACCAAAACCTTGTGGGAAAGAGAACAAAGTTGGAGTAGATTATTATTATTACATTGTTTCAATAATGTCGCACATCAGTAAAATTCCACAATTCAATTTTACTAATGTGTGACACTATTGAAATAATGTAATACTGACATAATGATAGGTATCATTATAATAAAACAAACCTGGAAGTCTGAAAATCTATACATCTATGGACAAATAATTTTTTACAAGAATACAAAGTCTATTCAATGGGAATAGAATAGTCTCAGAAATAGCACTCTGATAAATGGATTTTCACATGCAAAAGAATTAAGGTGAACACCTACCTCAAATTATATGTGAAAGTTAAGCCAAATGGATAAACAAACACAAGAACTAAAAGTGTAGTCTTATATGCACACATCGAGGAAAGTAATGATTTTGGATTTGGTAATATGACAAAAGCACAAGCCACAACAGAAAATAAAGACTGGAGGTGTAGCTCAGTAGTAGGTTGTTTACCTACTGTAGGAGGCCTTGCATTTTATTCTTAGTACCTGAAAATCAAAACCAAGTAGATGAAGCCCCAAAAACCTCTACACACCATACTGCCAAAAGTACTGAACAAAGACTCCTGAGAGCTACAAGACAAAAATGTCAAGTCATTTACAGTATAAAGGCAAATGCAGGAGAGCAAGAGCAGATTTCTTAGGAATGAAGAAATTAATGGCCAAGAAAGCATGGGATGATGTCTTTCAATCCCTAGATGAAAAGAATTGTCAAATTAGATTACCGTATCTTGCAAATTATCCTTTAGAATTGAAGGAGAAATACTTTCAAAGATGAACAAAAACTAAAAGAATTTACAACCGATGAATGCGCCTTAGAATACTTCTAGGTACTCAAAGTAATCCTGCACCAGTAAAAGGATTTAAGATAAATAACCTCAAAAAGACCATGGGAAAAAATAATTTCACTCAAAGGGGAGATAAGCAAATGAAAAGTAGAAAATCATCAAACATGATTATTTAGGGGAAAGAGGTGAATACAGAATATTCAAAACAACCAAAAGAGAAGTCAAATGACAAAAGCTGGTACATGTCTTTCAGTAATAACCCTGAATGTAACTGGTTTGAGTTCCCAATTAAAACATGCAGACTAGAAGTTTGGATTTAGAAAAATACTCAACATTCTGCTTCCTTAAAAAATAACACCTCACCAGCACAGACATACATATCGAAAGGGAAAGGATAAAGAGTGATATTCCAATCAAGTGAAATTCAAAGTAACTAAAAATAGCTGCATCTGTACCTGATAAATTATACTGAAAACACAGATTAGTCAAAACACACAACTAAGGTTGATAAAAATATATGGAAGATAATTATATATGCACTAAATGTCAAAGAAATAAACTATAAAAATACCGTGGGAGATAAAAGAGACAAGGCCTAACACAAATGATTGAGTGACACCAATACCCCATTCCCACCAGTATGTACATCTTCCAGACAGAAAAATGAACATGGAAGCATTGCAGCTAATTAGATGGTAGATCAATAAACTTAAAATACAGCTACAAGTTTTAGCTATTACAACCTGTGCCACTATAAACAAGAGTGCACATATATCACTGTGATATGAGTCTTTTAATTCTTTTGGGAAGATACCCAGAAGACGGATAGATAGCTTTGTCAAAGGGGACCTCTAATCTTAGTTCTTTGATGTATGTTTATACTGATTTCCACAGTGGTTGTACCAGTTACACTACCAACAAAAGTGGAGAAGTGTTCCTTTTTCCACACAGCCCCCACTTAAGAATTTGTTATTGGTTGATTTCATGATAGCAGCCATTCTTTCTGGAGCGAGATAGAATCTCAGTCTTGTTTTCATTTGCATATCTACAATGACCAGTGATGTTGAGCATTTTTTCATGTGTTTATTTGCTATTTCTACTTCTTGTCTGAGAAATGTCTGTTCATTTCATATGCCCATTTTTGGGTTGAGTAAATCTCAGAGGACTGATTTTTTTGAAAGTTCTTTATATATTCTAGATAATAGACCTTTGATTGAGGAACAGCTGGGAAAAATTTTTCCCACATTGTGGGTTGTCTCTTTATGCTGTTGGGTGATTTCTCTTGCTGTGCAGAAGTTTTTCAATAAAAAGAGATGCCACTTGTTGAATCTTTGTGCTAGTTCACATGCAACTGAGGTTTTGTTCATGAAATCTTTTCCCATGCCAATGTCTTCAAGAGTTCTACCTTCAAGAGTTTTTCCAGCTGGTTTAGTGCTTATGTATTAATATTTAGGTCTTTAGTCCATTTCAATTTTAGCACATAGTGAGAGATATAGGTCTGGTTTTAATCTTTGGCAAGTTGAAACACAGTTTTCCCAGCACCATTTATTAAAGAGGCTGTCTTTCCTCCAGGGAGGATGTTTGGCTCCTTTGTCGAAGATGAGGTGGCTGAGTGTGTCTGGAGTTGTTTTTTTCATCTTCTAATATGTTCTCCTAATCCTCGGTTCTGTTTCTCTGCCAGTACCAGGCTGTTTTATCACAGTAGCTTCATAGTATAATTTTAAGTTGAGGATTGTGATACCCCCATCTTGTCTTCATTGCCTAGAATTGCTTTTGGTATTCTAGGTCTCTTGCTTTTGCAAATGAATTTTTGGATTGCTTTCGCAAGCTCTGTGAAGTGTATGGTTGGAAATACAATTGGAATAATATTCACTATATAGCCGTTTTGGAAAGTATGGCCATTTTCACTATACTGGTTCTTCTAACCCAGGGGTAAAGGGTATCTTTCCATTTTCTGGTATCCTCTTCAATCTCTTTTTTCAGAGTGCTATAGTCAGACTTCAGAGTAGAGGTCTTTGATTTCTTTCCTTAGTTTGATTCCTGGGTATTTCATTTTTTGGATGTTATAGTGAAAGGAGATATTTCTCCAGATCCTCTTTCAGTGAGTCTGTTGTCCCTGAACAAGAAAGCTATTGATTTGTGTGTGTGTGTGTGTGTGTGTGTGTGTTGACCTTGTATCCAGCTACTCTACTGAATTTGGTTATTAAGTCTAGAAGGCTTGTGGTGGAGTTCTTGGGGTCTTATATATATAAAGTATCATGTCTTCTGCAAATAATGACAGTTTAACTTCTTTGTTTCCTATCTTTATTCCATTTATTTCATTCTCTTGTCTAATTACTGTGGCTAATATTTCCAAAACAATATTGAACAGGAGTGGTGATAGCAGACATCCTTGTCTTATTCCTGACTTTAGCATGAAGGATTTGTTTTTGAACATTTAGTATTGGCTGTTAGTTTTTCATAGATGGATTTTATTAGGTTGAGATAGAGACCATCTATTCCAATCTTCTGTAGTGTATTTTTTTATCATGAATGGATGTTGGCTTTTGTCAAACACTTTTTGTGCATATTGTTTTTGTCCTTGGCTCTATTAATATAATGTATTACATTTATTGATTTGCATATGTTGAACCATCCCTGCATCCCTGGGATGAATCACACTTGATCAGGGTGTATGATCTTCTTGATGATCTTCTGCATTCTGTTTGCCAGTATTTTATTAAGGATTTTTGCATCTATGTTCATTAGTGCAATTGGCCTATACTTCCCTTTTTTTGCTTAATTCTTTTGCTGCTTTGGGGATCAAGGTGATGCTTGCTTCAAGGAATAAATTTTGGAGTATCACTTCCTTTCAATTTCATTAAAGAGTTTAAACATTAGTGCCAATAGTTCTCTAAATGTTTTGTAGAATTCAGCAGCGAAGCTATCAGGACCCTGGCTTTTCTTTGTTGATAAGTTTTTAATGAAATTTTCAATTTCATTGATTCACATTGGTTTGCTTAGAATCTTTAGGTCTTTGTTCAACTTTTGTAATTCATATCTATCTAGAAATCTGTCCATTTCTACTGTGTTTTCCATCTCATTGGCATGTAGGTTCTCAAAGTAGTTGACTATCCTCTGGATTTCTGCTGGGTCTGTTGTAATTTCACCATTTTCATTCATAATTGCATGGATGTGGGCCTTTTCTTTCCTTTTTTTTTTCTTGATAAGGGTGGCTAAGTATTCATCAATTTTGTTTGCACTTTTGAAGAACCAACTTTTTCTTTATTGATTTTTTGAGTCATTCTCTTAGTCTCCATTGCATTGATTTCTGCTCTGATCTTATAATTTCCTCCCTTGTGTGAGCTTTGAGTTTGTCCTGCTCTTCTTTTTCTAGAAGTTTGAGATTCCGCATTAGGTTGTTTATTTGAGCTCAATGTCTTTTCTTAAAATAAGTATTCACTGTTATTAATTTCCCTCATAAGACTGCTGTCTTTGTGTCCCATGAATTCTGATATGTTGTATTGGGATTGTTATTTAATTGTACTTTCTGATTTCTTCTTTAATTTCCTCTGTGATCCATTGGGTATCCCATAGTATGTTGTTCAATTTCGCGGTGTTTATGAAATATTTGTGGTTTCTTTTGCTGTTGACCTCCAGTTTCATCGCACTATGGTCTGATAATATACAAGGCATAACTTCAATTCCTTTGCACTTACTTAAGTATGTTCTATGAGCAAGTATGTAGTTTATTTTGGATAATGACCCATGTGCAACCAAAAAGAATGTGTATTTGATTTTATGGGGTGGAACACTCTGTAAACATCTGTTAAGTTAATTTGTTCAAGAGTTTGGTTGATGGCTTTTATCAGGTTGAGATAAAGACCATCTATTCCAATTTTCTGTAGGATTTTTATCATGAATGGGTGTTGGATTTTGTGGCTATATAATTTTTCTGCATCTATTGAGAACATCGTATGGTTTTTCCTTGGCTCTATTAATATAGTTTATTACATTTTTCAAGAGTTTGGTTGAGTTCTAGTATTTTGTTGTTCATTTCTTCATTCAGTCTATTTGTGACAGTGGGGTATTGAGATCTCCCAATACTATTGTATTAGTGCTTATTTGAGTTTTCATGTTCATTAATATTGTTTTATGTAGTTGCATGCACTAGTATTTTGTGCATGTATACTTATGATTATCATCTCTTCCTCTTGGATTGTTCCTTTTACAAGGATGCAGTGACCTTCTGTGTCCCTCTTAGTGTTTGAAATCCATTTAATCTGCAAATAGGATACCTATTCCTGCTTTGTTTCAGGTTCCTGTCACATTGAGTATTGCTTTTCACCCTTTAACTTTCAGCCTGTGAGTTTCTTCTTGAATTGTGTTTCT